TAAGGGAATACTACCTCCAAGAATTCAAATGAATAACAGACACGTGTCAAGACGGTTGGGAGAAGTTAAAGCATCCTTTGGGGTGGGTGAACACCCGAACGGGGTCGGGATCAACAAAGTTCAGGATACGCCAAAAGAGAAAAGGGCTACAGGCATTCTCCCCGAACAGGATAAAAGATACTGTGACAAACAAGGTATTCATAAATCAGGTCCCGAACAGGAAGAAAAAATACACCCTAAAAGTAGTAAAGAATGATGGGCGTACCCGAACAGTATGGTTATCTAACATGGAAAAATCTGACAGACGCAACGAAGAGAGCAATATTACTTCCCGAATGCCGAACACAATTACTAACTAGTTATAAAGGAAGCTTACGAACAGGATCGCTAAGAAAAGTACAGGAATTTACGCCCCGAGCGGGTGAGAAAGGCACTGGAATCCTAAATATTGGGATCATGAGTGCAGACTGAACGAGTTCATTATGAATATTATCTCGAACAGACAGCTCGATCGATAAAGAAACAACATGTATTAATGAGGTTATTAAGTCCTAAATTCTGGACTTAACGAAGAGGTGACTCGAACAGGCAAACCTGATCGCTATAAATTATGGAGTTGAAACAGGAACAAAGCAACATGAAACGTATTACGAAGGTGACTTGATGGGTAAGAAACGAATATAAAGCACAGTAGAAGAAGTTACAAAGACAGAATGAGCAAGCAAAAGTTGTGTATTCATCGGCTCTACTGGCCGGAAGGTACAAAAAATACTGATTCAAAGGAAAGAAAGTACAAATAAAGAGGATGTCTAATCTATTGTTCAGGATGCTCTTCATCATCTTCTTCATCATCAGCTTCCTCATCAACGATCTGCACCACATCCATCCCCAGGGCTCGCCGGCACTTTTTCATCTGTGCCATCAGGGCGTTCAGATGACCCGGATGAAGATCAGAGGGGAAGTCAGAGGATTGCACCGCTCGGCCCATGTGTTTTTCTAAGAGGGGGAGGAGAGGCTGAAGCATATGTTGGCAACCTGAGCTGTAGACCCCTCGGGCGAAATTATCAGCCCACTCCTTGGTGACAGGATGCTGATCAAGCACCCTGATCCCCTCCTTCTGGCGCTCTTCTCCGGCGAGTTTCTCCAGATGCCTCCCAAAGACAGCAGGGAGCTGTCCGGTGGCGTATTCTTCCTTGAGAACCAGAAACTCCTCGGAAGCTTTGAATGAATCCCGAATGGCAGAAAGATCAACTATCATTTCAGCCGGGCCATCCGGGATTTGAGGAGGAGCTTGAGGAAACTTGACCTGAGCGGCCTCAGCTGCCGCGATCTTGGCTTGGAGAGAGCCCACTTTGACACAAAGCTCCCCGGCCTCAGCTTCCAGCTTCTTCCGCTCCTCGGCGAATGCCCGCCGTTCGGCCTCTATTGCCTGCTCAGCTGTTTCCTTGGCCATCAGCAGGCCTTGTTCCTTAGCCTGCCTAGCCTCTCTGAGTTTCAGGCTGTATATCCCTGCCTAATGATCAAGAAGTAAAATATGAGTGCATGATAAGCTATCGAACGGAGAAAAGGGAAAAGTAAATTATGAACACAAGATAAGGAACTACCTTCAGGACAGTCAGAGCAATACACTCCTCGGCCTCCTCCACCGGTATCGGGGGAAGATTGTGTCCATTAAGAAAGCCCGACGTGGACCAAATCTGGCTTGCTGGACAGCCATCCCGCTCCAGCATTTCGTGAGCAGGATCATAGAGGGAGATCCGCTCGAACTGACTAGCCAAGTCAGCCTGATGGGCAGCCACCTCCTCAGCAGAGAAATGGTGGGACTGCTGGTCAGAAAAAAGCTGATCCATCAGCGTGTCAGCATGAGTTTGCTGATCAGGGGCAACCTGCTGCACAGGTTCTACATCCCGAACAGGCTCAGGCTGCTCGGGGACGGGAGGGGCGGATTGAGAGGAGGTGCCCTGATCGGCCTTCCTCAACCTCTTCCTCTTTGTCTTCCTCTACTGCTTGAGAGGAGAGGACGGTGGCTCATCGTCAAAACCAACGGTAAAGAGCCTGCTGTCATCCATCACCGGCTGTTCGGGGTTATCTCCTTCGGACTCTGATTCGTCTTGTTGAGGAGCTGGCAAAACAAACAAAGCGTAAAATTAGTACCGAGCGGTTCGCACATGGATAAACAAAATTGTTTCTCACACGGGAAGGACCGCCCGGGCCATGGTACTTGGTTTTCAGTCAAGTAAGTCCAGGAATACGGGCAGTACCTATCCCGGCTTTAATAAGCCGTTCGGGAGTCAGATAGGGCATAATCTGGAAGCAACCACCCGCCTCCACAGCAATAATATCCTTGCTAAGGTCTTCAGAGATGAACGGTTCGGGGGACTTTGGCGGAAAGGCATTCCATTTTCTTGGGATTAGGCCATTTGGGACAGATACAAAAAAGAACCGATCTTTCCATTCTTTGATGGAAGAGGGAGCCTTGGAAAATAAATTATGACCTGAGCGGGAACTCGCGACAAGATAACCCTGGGCTTGTTGCGGAATGACCGAGAAAAAATAGTGAAACAGATCTAAGGAAGGGGTCACCTTAGCCTCTACACAACGACAAATAAAACCATCCATTGCCCGATAGGAGTTCGGCATTATTTGGGCTGGCACTATATTGTAATAATTTAAGAGGGAAACAAAGAAGGGATGAAGGGGAAACCTAAGGCCAGCCTTAAGGGAATCAAAATGAATCACAACCATCCCTGGGAAGTGGCGCATTGGATGGAGGCCCGATTGGAGGCGGAAGTTCACCGAGTCAGGAATTAGCATCTGGATTTGGGCCCGGTTTTGGGCCGTGAGCTTTTGGCGCCTAAGCCTAATCAGGGCTAGGTCAAGCTTATGGCAGGGAACGCCGCTTGGAGGACCGGCTTCCATAACTTCCAATTCATCCCCCGATTTGGTGCCATCAGGGTAAACGTCGGAGGAGGAAGAGGAATCATCACCGTTAACTTCCGCCGGAATAGGGACAACTTGCAGCACATCGTTGGGGTTTTCCTCTGGGATTGCAGCACCGGGGGTAGAGGGTTCAGATGAACGAAGGGATGCCATTCTCACCGAACGAGGGGACTAAACAGTAGAAGGGAGTTCGAAGGATACCTGAACAGAAGCAGCTGGTAAAGCTCTAGAGAGAAGGCAGAATACTAAGCCGGAGATATCAAATTTCGAAACCCAGAATCAAAACCAAGAGAGCCTACTTATACTCTGTCACGCCGAATCAATGACCAGTCAGAGAAAGACACGTATCCAGTAATAATGACAGAGACACGTGTCACGCGGAGAATCCTTCTCAAGTAATCATGACGTTTATCGGAGAAGTGAAATGGCAGTTGCAAATAACCGTCAGAATATGCCTCGGGAACCGGCGGAATACCATCCGATACTCACCCGAACAGCATTCGGGCAATAATCTTCTACTTCCTTATGCACTCACTACCGTTCGAGACATAGGAAGTGGGGGACTAGTGTTGGGATATTAGGTCCAGGCCCAATATCCCTAGGCCCAAATCCGGGAAGAAGCAGCGGGCCCAAGGCAGTCCAAAGAACTCCCGAACGACATTCCGGATAAAATGTCTACTTGGAGCATTTCAAGGAACAATTACGCCACAGTACCAAAGGCCAGATCCCGATCGACGTTCGGGATACTTCCATAAACAAGATAGCACCTATGGCGGGGTCCCACACACCGGACACCCTGCCCGAACGGGCAATCTGCAAGTTGGGGCATGGGTGCTTACATGGCAGAAGTGACAGCCTACCGGATTTGGCCACGTGTCCACCTTACCCATCCCTATTTTAGTATAAATACCCATGTTTAGATCATTGTAAAGGGTTAGCATTTTAATACTCAGAGCTTAGCAATAGATTTATATCTCTTATCCTTGTATTCTCATTATCATCTACCGTTCGGGTAGTTTCCAGTGTAATTGCCTAATTATTGAATACCAGTAAGCTCCTGAGTTGGATAATATCTCACTATTTTATATTTTATACACTTTTCGACCCAACCCAATATCCCCACAATATCCAAAGCTTGTGTTGGGCTTTCGGATCTTCGGGAATAAACCTCAACAGCAATGTTTTTTAAAAAAATTTAAAATTGTCTGTTTTGTCTTCCTCCTCACGTCCTCCCCACTCAAGCTGCAGGGGCGGAGCCAGGACACTGGGCCGGACTGGGCTGGTACAAAGAATATTTTTGAAAAAAAAAATACACAGATTTTTTTACACTAAAAATATAGAGATTTTTAAAATTTAGGCTGGGCCAGGGCCAGGGGTGGCCACCCCCTAGCTCCGCCCCTGCTCAAGCATGATATAAATCAAGCTTAGGAGGGAGCTTAGGAGGAGCTATATGCACTTGCCTATACATACATAAAAAATGTTTAATGTATATGTTTTATATGTACACATTTGACACACTTGTCTATCTATGCACACATAGTTATTTATATACAGACAGTGGCGGAGCTAGACATTTAGGGTTAAAGGGACCGGTCCTTAACAATTTTACATTGCAGGGGCCAAAGTGTAAAATATCATCATACTTTCTACATATTAAAAGTATTTATACATCATATATACTTAATATATGATGTATAAAGACACAACTGTATACAGACATCTTTGTAGAATCCCATAGAGTTGTATGTCAATACACAACTTTATCTACGTACAGATAAATCATAAATGTGACAAAAGTGTATAAAAAGAGTACTCCCTCCGTCCCGCTATGATTGTTCCATTTTACCTTTTCAGTCCGTCCCACTAAAATTGTCTCATACTTTATTTGGTAAAATTTGTATGGTTCTAAATCATTCTTATTTTATTTTGACTTTATCAATTCAATATTAACCACAAAAACCTACTTTCATTAATAACCGTGTCACCTTCTCTTATTCCAAACTTAGGGGCTCGAGATAGTATGTGGTAGAGCGCTCCAATTCTACATACATTTCTCATTTCTATTGGAACCAATAAAGCAAATCTAGAGCCCACTGGCCACTGCTACTTCATAAAGGCGCCACCACTCGGAAATGTTAACCGATTAGCCCATTGAGGACGGTGATCGATGGAAGCGTGACAAGATGATGCATTGGACGATTCCATTTTCTGCTGACACGTTGGTAAATACTCCGTATTAAAAGTACGCGAATATTTTCTTTTGCTTCCAAGCGGGACCAGATTGTGTAGAAAGATGATAAAAAGGCATGGCCAAAATGTTGAAGCTCACCTGCTTGTGAAATTGTCTATGTAAATTGAATCTTGAGGCAGTCTATGTCGTGTACTGAAAGTGGAGGAGTCATATTCCCAATAAATGTAGGGTCATCATTCATCAAGGGGAACCTATTGAACTTTTTGCAGGTTGGCAATCCCTACAAGAGTCAAGATCCTTGTTTTGCTTTCCCTTTCCATAATACCTTCATGACTTCATTCAACCGTTCCTGGTCTTGCTTCTACTCTTTTCACTGGCGCCTCCTTGACGATTGACATTCTATGAGGTATGGAGCACAGGAACCCTAGATATTCTTTCCTTGTCCACTAAAGGGGTACAATGTGCTCTCCCACTTTAAATATGCAATTACCACTTAGTTAGCCGATATCCCTTTGTTTTTCTGCATTCACACTTTTTGGCATATTATCTATAGTATGTAGAGTGGAAGATTTATTTATACCATTCAACTTTAGACTTTTTTTTGTATATACATCAAATTTATTTTGGTTTAGAGAGATCTAACAACAAATCTGTGTTGGCTTGGGCCAATGGAGATAATTTATCAGACTAAAGTAGAGTTTTATACCAATAGAAATCTGTGAGGCAATGTTGAAAAAAAGAAATTGCTGTTTTTTTACTCTGAGTTTGAATGGAATGCTTGTTTTATATTAAGATCTGAAGTTACTTTTGAAAAAGTCAAGGGGTGGTGCATGATCAACATTAATTTTATATATGCTGAAGTTTGCTTTCCTAACAAGTTTCATTTATCCTCTACAATCTCTGTTCATACTTTTTCTTTCCATCGGCTTGAACCCACCTTTTGGAACTCAAAAGAAGGAGAATAACGTAGAATAAAACTAAAAGAAATCACATTTTCCATTGCCCATTGATTGAATATGTCCTTGATCAAAGATTTTTTTTTCATTGAGAGTATTAGGTCCTTATAAGCTATAAAAGCTGTTGGTTCAATAATATTTTCCTCCACAATCTTCTATTTGCAATAGCCCTTCCATCATCATCTCCATTATATTTTGTTGTAATTGTGCTTCAGATGAATTTAGAAAACATTGTTACACCAAGAAAGACTAGATTGTCTCGCGCTTTAGCCAAGGCTTTTCACATTCGAGCCGACCAAGTGAACAAGAAAAGGAAGTCGCTTGAAAACGATGGTATTATTAATAGCGGCAACAATGATCTGCTTGAAGGTTTGGAAGGGGGGGATGGAAAGCTAGGAGAGAGAATCGCTGAAGAAGCGTTTGTCGCCAAACTGTTTGCTTGCATCTCAGCTGTAAAAGCTGCCTATGCGGATTTACAATCTGCTCAATCGCCTTATGATCCTCAAGGGGTTCAAGCTGCTGACCAGATGGTTGTGACTGAATTTCAATTACTATCTCAATTGAAACAATCATATTACTACTACAACAACTACAAGATCCAGATCGATCGCTCTTTGTCATTTTCTTCTCATGAGAATATGTTGTTCTTGGCTGAAATTAAGGAGCTAAAGTGCATTCTTAAAACTTATAAAACCACGGCCAAGAAGCTAGAAGCTCAGGATAAGCTGAAGGGTTCCGAAATCATGTTCTTGAAGGAGAAATTAGAGGAAGCCAATAAAGAGAGCAACAATTTACTGGAGAAGAGCTTTGAATTTCCTTCTCCTGCCAAACCGAGTCCCTCCCATTTCATCAAATGTCTTGCGGAGACGGTTAGCTCAATTCGAAGTTTCGTTAGGGTTTTGACCTTAGAGATGAAATATGCAGGGTGGGATTTAGATGTTGCAGCCTTTTCAATTCAACCCGATGTTGTTTCATTCGTGAAAGCAAGCCACATATGTTATGCCTTTGAGTCTTTTGTCACTAGAGAGATGTTTGATGGGTTCAATCACCCGAACTTCGACTACTCATCAAACGAGGCATCATGTCTAGCATCATCAACATCTCAAAGGAGGTATTGCTGCAACAAATACCTTGACCTGATTCACCCAGACATTGAAGAGTCACTTTTTGGCAATGTGGTGCAACGCAAAATGGTGATGTCCGGAGAGTATCCAAACACGGCTTTCTTTACTTGTTTTGTCGAAATGGCAAAGCATGTCTGGAGTTTGCATGACTTGGCATCTTCTCTCGAACATGACGTTTCAATATTCCAAGTGAGCAAAGGTACTCGATTTTCTGATGTTTATATGGAGAATGTAAATGACAACCCATTCTTATCATGGGATGGCTTGCCGGAAAGGGAGTCACGGGTGGCCTTTACAGTGCTTCCTGGGTTTAGAATTGGTAAAACTTTCATACAATGTCAAGTGTACCTGGCCTAAGTTCATTTTCAGTATATGTATATAAAACAGTGCATATAAAAATGATTTTGTGATCTATTTAGCCTCCCATGAATCATCAAGGTGTAAAAATATCTTCAAAATATTGTTAGACATTTTACTTTAGAATTTAATTCAAGTAGAATACAATGGGAATGACCTGATAGTCTTTATACACTTTATAGTCAACCATCAATGGTTCAAAGGTAGTCCCAAGAAAAGAGCCTATGACACACAGTGCTGATCTGGAATTGGCTTTCATGTGATTCTTTTTCTTCAAAGCGAAAATATGTGACCACTTTTTCTTTATCTACGGAGTATTTTGAAAGGAAACTGCGTGGATGGTTATGTGGGGTAGGCAACAAGCTTTGAAGACTTTTTGTTTATGTATATTCTAAAAAGGGGGTTTGAACTCCGCTCAATCGGTGTTTCACTAGCCTGCTAGTAGAATAGGTACACATGATTCAATAACATTTGGTTTATAGGCTTGTACTAATAGCGGATTCAATACCATTCGGGGAAAAATCCTTAAATAGGAATAAGTAGGCTTGGGAGTTGGGACCGGTTCGAAAATATGAAATTGTACTAATGGTTCGGTTCTTATAAATTATTTTATAGAACCGACAAGGAACCGAACCATTTTAACGGTTCGGTTCTTGTCATTTAATGGTTCCTAGTCATTGAAAAAATTCTTACAAATCACGACTATATTTTTGCCAAAAAGACATTTAACGTTTGAAATTACAATACAAATATGATAAACCGCCGATAATCCCAACTATCGGCGGTCTGCTTATAATAATCCCAACTATCGATTATTTCAGAATAATCCCAACTTTAGGGACCTTCCGCTAATAATGGTCTCTAAGAATAAATTCTTGTAGTTTTTAAAATGGATGAGAAGAGATATAACAAGTAATGCCTATAAATAATACCAACTTTTAATTTTTACCCTTAATTTATAGTTAAAATTCACTTTTTATAGGAGTTAAATCTGATCATGGACCATTATTGGCGGACGGTTCATATAGTTGGGATTATACAAAAATAATCAATAGTTGGGATTATTATTGGCGGACCGTCAATAGTTGGGATTATTATTTTCAATTTTTCCTAAATTTAAATAGTTTGGACCTTCCCGAATTCCGACCCATTGGAGTTTGGACCTAATGAGGGCCTAAGAAGCTAAAGAGTACCGGTTGAAGTGAATCATAGTTTTAAATAGTTCAATAACTAAACTAAGATGATGAATGTAATATAAAAATAAATAAGTAAATATACATTAAAATATATATATGCTCAGAAGAAGATGACTGCTCAGGTCCCTCCGGAGGGACGGGAGGGACCGTCCGAACTTTACTGTTTGGGGCGGTTCCCGGTGGAATTTTTTGATGAAATTTTTTGAGCATGTTCCTCATCAAGTCTAGTTTGCCCATACCAAATTTCAGCTCAAAATTCGACCGGGAAGGCAGTCAAATAAATTCTTGAAACTTACTGCACTTTATATATGCGCAGAATGTGCAGTAAGCTTCAAGAATTCATTTGAATGCCTTCCCGGTCGAATTTTGAGCTGAAATTTGGTATGGACAAACTAGACTTGATGAGGAACATGCTCAAAAATTTTCATCAAAAAATTCCACCGGGAACCGCCCCAAACAGTAAAGTTCGGACGGTCCCTCCCGTCCCTCCGGAGGGACCTGATCTTTTCTGCTCAGAAGAAATATATATAATTTTAATTATTATATATAACTGTTCCTTAGCGGTTCCGGTTACATAATTTTTTTCAACCAAATTGGACGAAATTTAGCAACACGAGTACTATATTTTGTCTTCAATGGAGAGCCGACTGAAAATTTTGAACTGTACAATTTTGTATTCTAATGATACATATGAATAAAAAATCAATATAATCAAATACCATAATCCATTGTGGATAAGCTTACGTTGTTCCAATAAATTAAATGAAGCTATTTGATCGAATAATTCATGCATCCACATAGCTTGTAGCTCCCGATTTGGAAATTGGAAATTGAGTATGTGACAATGAATTTGGTGATTACAGTAAAACATTTTTATGTTTAATTAATAAATTGATGGCACATTTCAATAGTAAAATTTAATACTTCGTATTAAGTTGATATAAAAAAACAGAAATAAAAAAATTGATGATACTAATCGTACTACTCCGTATATTTTTTAAGGGAGAAAATTACATATATATATATATATACAAGAATGTTCAGGTCTTAACGTTCGGACGGGAGCCTCCGTCTGAACACCGCCGTTTGGGGCGGTTCCCGGTGGAATTTTTTGATGAAAATTTTTGAGCATGTTCCTCATCAAGTCTAGTTTGTCCATACCAAATTTCAGCTCAAAATTCGATCGGGAAGGCATTCAAATCATTTTTTGAAGTTGACTGTATTTTTATATGTATATTTTGACGCAGTCAACTTCAAAAAATTATTTGAATGCCTTCCCGATCGAATTTTGAGCTGAAATTTGGTATGGACAAACTAGACTTGATCAGGAATATGCTCAAAAAATTTCATCAAAAAACTCCACCGGGAAGTGCCTCAAATGGCCATGTTCGGACCGAGGGCTGCTGGACAGGATCATTCCCCCCCCCCGCTCTCTCTCTCTCTCTCTCTCTCTCTCTCTCTATATATATATATATATATATATAGCGTTTAGTTAATGTTTCTTGAATTTTTTATTTAAAAAAATGATGTGGATAGCCCATTGTGGAGAGCTCTATATGCCAAATAACTTTTGAAATAATTACATATGACCAAAATAAAGATAATTTACAAAACATGACTAGTTACTAGAGTAGTAATGAAATCATAGTACATGATTCATGTTCAAGCTTTGAACTTAAGTTACTACAACACTACGTTGTAGTAATGAATAGTCATATTTATGTAAATAAGTTTTATTTTAGTAATATTCTTGTAAAAAAACTCATTACTTTTTTTAACTAAGAGTATTAAAGAAGAATTAATAAAAAGGCTACATCATAAAGCTATAAGGATGAAAAACAGTTTATAAATGGACCCAAAATAATAGGGTATTACCGTAGATAGAAAATTCATAATGAAGGAATAAAATAGAGTGTAAAAATAAGGACGTTTTTACTTGGACTGAAATTTGCTGGTTTGATCTGGTTTGGTCTGAACTGGTTTAATATGGTATAGTAAATGTCTGGTCTATGTGTATTTTATAACTATGCAAGTCTAGTTTGGTCCGGTTTGATCATCATTGTTTTACTCTAAAATATGACTTATTCACACTGTCAAATGGGAAAAATTGATATGCTTAACATAACCAAATAACTCATATTTTTTAGAATGACATATAATAGTCCAATTTCCATGTGCACTTTATTTGTGTTATACTCTTTGAATGATTTCTTTATCGACATAAACATAAGCATACCAAAACAAATACAAATAAATACAATGAATTAGATCCATGTCAATGTGGGTATCAGTTCATCTTGCGATAGAAAATTATAGTGAAAACTAGTCTTTCACCTGTGCGTTGCACGGGATGTCAAAATAAAAGGTTATTTGTAACGTCATTTTATGTATTCAAATATTGCCAAATTCAAAATAGTCTAATACAACGTACCATTAATATATGAACTGGAAGTAAGTGTTATTATTTAAATACAAATTATGGACATTACCTAAGCCAACATTTCGGTGATAGTCTATAAAATAGAACTTGTGTCCAATCTTTAAAAAGATTACTGCTATGAGAAATTGCATGTATGCAATTCGTATACCATACACTTTTAACTGACTATAAAATAGTACTTGCGCCCAATCTTTACACATTAAAATCTTGCAACCAAGTTTTCTCAATTCAATCTTGCAATCGTCCAATTTACCTAATACATGAAGAGAGAACAATTTCTCAATCTCGTGTTTTGCAAAATTTGATTAGTAATATCAACTCTAAACAAAAGATGAAGGCCGACCGAACTATCAATTTCTTTTGGTGTGGCCTTTTCATGAGCTTTTTCTATTAACAAAAAAGAAGATAAAATGTGTGAACATTCATATGAAATTATTTCACATATGAAATTATAATAGCAAGAACCATGCAATTATTACGTAACCTCATATCAAGTTAAAACTTTCACCCAGTTGTCCCGCAGTTTTGTGTGGCAACTATTGACACTCATTGCCCCAAATAAACAACGCAACAAATCCTTTGACATTAACCTTTACCATATACTCCGTATTAGTTAATACTCAAGTTAAACACTTAGTTGCATTTAGTTTATGGCCTTTGTAGTGCAAGATTCTTTCACATGTTTGGTACAACAAAGTCCATTGAAAACATCTTTGGGTTTACCAAAAGTCCAACAGAATTTCTAAATAATAAAGGCAGTGAGATAGGTTAAAGATGAATTGATCGTAATTCAAGTTTAATTTTGAGAATAGTGCATACTATTAGTACAAACACTAAATAATCAGTCAACATGTTAAGGATAAAATTAATTAACAAATTGAAATAGCAAAACATGTTTAATAGCAAACAACTCGTCAATGGAGTTAATAACCATTTGCTGATGACGAACATCGATCGAGACACAACTATCAACTTGAAATGGAATTAATTAGAAACAAAGCTTAGCTCACTACTTTCAATAAACACATATTTAAGTTTATATGATTTAAGAAAATATGACAAATTGCTTTTATTCTCCCTGTCTATTAAATTGCCTTGATTTGACACTCACCAAATTCCGGTATTTTATGATAATGATATAAAATATTCAGAGATTTGTAGCCATCAGAGATTTGATGGATCGATTATGCTATAACTGAAAGTCTAAATCTAAGGTTTTAGATGAAATTTCAGATAAAATTCCTGATGATAGATATGAAGGGTCTTCTTGTAACAGATTCTGCTTTTAAAAAGTGTTTTTTTAATGAAATGAGGAAAAATGATTAAATAAAAGTTGATAGTGTTTGAGAAAAAAATGATTTTGAAAAGTAAAAGTTGGTAGTGTTTGGTAAAATAAGTGCTTTTTGTGTAATAGGAAAAGTAAAAACACTTTTGACACGAAAGCTGAGAAAAATAAAAGTTGGTAGTGACTGGTAAAATACGTGTTTTTTAAAGCCAAAAGTTGAGAAGTGCTTTTT